TTTCTAGTTTACTGAACAATGTTGTAATTTTCTTTGTTTACTGATGGGTTTACCTTGCGGGAGGTGGTATTTTGTGTTTGTCGAAAAAATATCTACCTGATTGCGGATAAGTAAATATGCTTTGAGTTCTGATGTACGCATGAATAAGTGCACAATTTCTATGAAAGGTAGGTTCTGTCAAATACAATTTTAGGTCGCGTAGATCAAACAGAATATGCAATAAAGATAAAAGCTATCTTGAAACAAATTATGTTTTCCCGGCGTTCCATAGAATCGCAATACGTGAACAAGTGCGCCAACTGAACACCTCGTTGTACTAAATTTCATAAAAGCCGTGTCACGACAAAACCAACATAATGGTTTTGCGACCAGCATGGATCCAGACCAGCCTGCGCATCCGCGTAGTCTGATCAGGATCCATGCTGTTCGCTTACACACCCTATTACAAGTAGAGAAACTGATAGCGAACAGCATGGATCCTGATAAGACTGCGCGGATGCGCAGGCTGGTCTGGATCCATGCTGGTCGCAAACCCACTATGTTGGTTTTGTCATGACACGGCTCATTATTATCAATTTTTCAATCAATACTGATCTCACAATAATCCCTCATATCAAGTAGCATCAACATTTTATACAAAAGTGCGAAAAAACCGATCAATTTTCTTTATCAAATTTGACACTGAGTACGCCAAATTCCTCGTGACTTGTTGGCGTACTAAATTCTTATCGTGTTGAAATTGAATTTCAGCGGTTCGGATTTATTGTTCGAGGGCATTAAATTCTTGAAACATGATGTATTGTCCAGGAAACTTCCGAATAAATCCGAATTGCTGTCCTTATCTATTGGAACCATGCTGCCATGCTTCTGAATCGCCCGAATGTGACAATTTTTTTTGTATACATACCTACTTTGCATTATGATACCGAACGGACGGGATATGTGATAAGTAATGTTTATATCGATATACTTATTTGACTTGTTTATGGGATGCTTTTAGTCTGATATTATCAACCAAATAAATAGCACGTTTTCCGCGAATCTCTCAGTCATCTGAAATGTTGACATATTTGTCAATGTAACAGTCATGCACTTCTTTTTCTTTGTCTTGTTTCCAGCACGTGCTTACACCTGCACGTGCAATTATTTAGTAAGCAGAAGACTTAAGCCAAATCACTTCTATATCCTCAAAATATCGTAGCAGATAAGACTGTGTACTTCAAAATATATTTATTGGAATTCAGACATTAGGTCACAATGATCCCGCTTCATGAAAATCTTGACAATAATATTTGTTAAGTTAAATCCATCTCCTGTACAGGATAGGCCCTGGATCAGAACAAATCCGTATGTAAACATATTCCTGATTGCAACATCTGCCATTTCAAAACTGAAAAACTGAAAACAGAGCGGTGCGTTTTTGTCATTACTTGGATAGTATGCGTACGCTTTTCGATGTATATCATTTAATTTTCATATTCATTTTGATACTATGTGTGATTTGTTTTAAGACAAAGTCACAATTTACGGTAGGAATATAATATTACATTTTGTTGGATTCCGACTTCCCGGAGTTGGTAAGTCAGTTACATTGAGATGCTTTATACATGTTATTTATATTTGATATCGTTAGAACGTCGGCAAGAATGATAAGGTTACGTCCTATCTTTTTTAATGCATTTTATTTCATTTGATTTATTTAAGATATTTAATTTTATTCTACAATTAAATTAGAAATTTAAAGATCGTTAAAGCTTATGCAGGTGTGTTCCTGGTTAAGTTTTTGCTGACTATTCGAAGAATAGCTATTGTACTCACCACGGCGTCGGTGTCATGCAGCGTCGCACTTTAGTAAAAGTTTTTTCTATTAATCCTGCATTAAGAAAAACTTGAATTTTCTGTTTATTTTATGTTTTATTGACCATACGGTTCGAAAAACTTCCTCTTTAGTCTTGTGTATTGGCTAAATTTGGAAGAAAATAGTCCAGCAAGACATCAGTAAAAATACGGAAAATATATTTCACTGCATGAAAATAAAATTGTGCCTTTAGAAAATACGGAAAAAAATGCAATTATTTCAACAATATTTCATTGATAAGTATAAAAATCGATTAATTGAGTGTATAAAAGAAAGTCACTGTCAAAGGCCTATAACTCTAACATGGGTTTTGACAGAATTATGACCCTTATTGAACTTATTCTACTTTTTTCAATATTTAGCACTGAGAATAGTCGAGCACACTGTCCTACTAACATCTCTTGTTTGTAAAGGGTAAATTTCGTTACAACACCATATTGTAGATTAAACGATTACATCAATATAATGCTAGAAGTAAATTTCAAAAGATATCATTATTTAATATCAATTTTAATCGTTATATTTTTTCCATAATATACATTGTATATAATGTTTGTGAATTCAATATATTATATAAGATGTGATGCATGATTAACGAAATTTTTACACTCATTTCCCTCCGTGTTTTCTTACTTTCAGATTTATCGCTATTTCATTTATACTTTACATATTTCTTTTTCTTTTCTATTTTACTTACTAAAGAATTATTGTAAAATAATTTTTGTACAATAAGAAAAGTATAAGCTCGATTTCATGATAATAATTATTAATACAATCGATGATCGATTATCTTTATTACCAGTTTCACTATATATCTGGCCAATCAAATACCCGAATGATTTTTTTCTGTTGATATATTTAAGATCATTTTAAGAATTACAATCAAGAGTTGTTTGTTCCGAGTTTATGGATTTTCCATAGATCTTTTCATAACTGCACTAAAAAACTCGTTCATTAGATATCTTGAGAATACCTAACAAACGGTTACCGGTCATACTGGCGGCATGTTTAGATGTAAATAATGAAAATCAATTCCGTAATCACGAATTGTTTTCCCCTCTGTATAACCTGTCTTTCTTTATAAGCTTGATTTACGAACGTGAGACTGACATTTTATTGGTAAGACTTTTTTTCAATCAAGTATTTAAGTCTTGTGAAACAAAATCATTTCGTTTAATAGCATCAATCGAGTTTTTGTTGTTGTTTTTAGAAATATGGAAATATACATATGGTTATGAATAACATTCGGGCGATTCTAAAATGCTCATGGGAATAATTCAACCGAGTGTTTTTAATTGAACTGGTTAATAAATCATGTAAATAGTAAGATAGTAAGTAATAGAGGTTATCATAATGATATGTATAATGATGAATGATAGTGATGCTTACTGTTCCATGATGATCGTAATTGTTAAGATAACCAAAATATAGACAACTCTGGTGATGATGATGATGATGATGCTGGCGGTGGTGATGATGATGATACGGTTATAATAAAATTCATGCCAGCGGCAGCGGCAAAAATGATAATAATGAAGACGAAGAAGATGATAATAATAATTATAATGACGACGACGACGAAGATGATAATGATTATTTTGACGATGATAATAATTATAATGACGACGACAAAGAAAATAATAAAATGACGACGACGACGAAAATAATGATAGTAATTACAACGACGACCACAACGACGACGGTGATGATGATGATTAAAACGTCGGTGCTAATAATGATGATAGTGATGATGATGAGGACGACAATAATGATATAATGCTTGTGGTAATAGTGACGATGGTGATGACGATTTTAGTGATAATTATGGAAATAACGCCGATGATGATACTGATAATGATGTAAAAAAATACGGGAAGAAGTTTGGGCATCTTCTCTCTAATAGTTGATGATTGGAAAGAATTATTTAATTTATTTTTATCAACTGCTAACTCGTACTTGTGTTTAGTTTGAGCATACATTTTTTTATTACTTTTAAGTAGCCGCACTTTGCGTCAAAGTTGATAAAAGATCGCACTTAACGCGCTGCAAATAATGCACGTTTAAGATACTTGTTTTACGGAATATTGAAAACATAAGTAAATATTGTAAATCTTAAAAGCCAATCAACTTGTATAAAATAATACCGGTGCGTGATTTATGTTTTTAAACTGTGATTTCAAGGAGGCCGAAGTACCATTTTATGGATAAACGTTTATTTGAAGAAAACTTTTGGTATTTGTGTTCATATTTTTCATATGCTTTGTTAAAAGACGGACTTTAAAGTGGCCGAGCGTAATAAAATATAATAATTATATGTTTCTTTGTTATTATAAGTAAACAGTTTTTAAACATTTAAAAAAAAAAGATTTTCAACAGAATTTTTTTATTGGTTGAGGTAAGAAAGGTTCTTTCTCTATTGTTGTAATCTTTCTTTACTTTAAAATCTAAATTGAATACATGGGGCAATATTTTTCTACAGAAGTTAATTGTTTATTTATTTTTGTATGCATGTCTTTCATTTATGAATGAAAAATTAAATAAAATAAACCTAATTGATTTTCTTTTACAAAAGACATATTTAGAACAGGAACTTTTTTCAAATATAGATCATTAAATAAATATGAACTTATAACAAAATGTAATATAAATGAAAACAAAATGTTTATCGCATGAAAGTGAACTTTGATAGGGGGTTAGGAGAATGCCACGTATTTCAGTTTTCACGACATGAATCAAAGTTTGTTGAAACAATGCTCACATTTTCACAGTTTTTATACATACTTCTACAAACAAAATCGTATCAAATTATTATTTATATAAAAGCTGTTTTTCACAATATTGTTATGTTTGAAATTGTGACTATATAAAAATGGATTCTTAAGGATCATTGTTAACAAAATAGTCTATTGGCGTTTTAACGTAACGTATTGAAATGAAATGTAAGAAAACGAACAATGTTTTATTAAAGATTTGACCATTTGTCAAGTAGTTACTTTACTTATCAAGTTAATGAACCGGTGGCTATCATTTTTATTTTAAGCTTAAAATCAAACAGTGCATTCAGTGTCTCAAAGTTCAAATAACATTTTCTTGATAAAATCTGTAAATTTAACTTGCATATTTGACTTCTGGACTAATATTTGATTTATGATTTATCTTTTCAGCACTGTACAAACTACAAAAGCAGACGACACCAAAATGCATTGGATATTTGCCGTTAAATTGTTCATAATGTTGTGAATTAATACCGTTTCGCTAAGTTATATGCAAATATCATCAAATTAGGAGAGTAAAATTACAGTTAAGTAAAAATATAGGAAATTAAAAATAAAATTACAGGAAAGTAAAATTACGGTACGTCACTTTCATACGTCATAAGCATGTCTCAGAATACAACATGTGCTTGATATCGGACAAGAATAATATATGTAAAAGTTACGGAAAGAAAATTTATATGAAATAAAATTAGCAATTGTGATAAAAGCTTTAATCACCATATACCGGAAGTGTTAATTTCAAAATTGGAAGTGGGTTTTTATTTGCTAGCTATTGTAAAGACAAGATGTTGAGGACAAGGATGCAGGGAGATGATAATATGTTTAGATGGGCACGGACTGAAATGAAAAGGGTAAGATATATCCTTGAAATTCATCATATATAGTTTTGATATATGAGTTTACGAGTATATTACGATTATATTTTTTTCCTTTCGGAGGCACTTTATGCCTCAAAAATCCGTGTTTTTAATTCTTTATACAAAGTATAGTACTTTGACTTTCATATATACACAATACTAATTCACTATGGTAATACTATTTGCAAACAAAACATGAGACAAAAAATAGTTCATGTTTTTACCAAAATAAAATAAATAAATAAATGAACAGTTTTTGAGAAATACAAATGATAGCATTCTAAGGCATAATGGACCTTTAAATAAACTGTACATTTATGAATTGTAAAGTAAAACCATCAACTCATTTTTTAAAGATATCACATTAATATTAACATAAAATACAAGTATAATTATGAAGAATATAAATTATATTTAACTGTTTAAAAAATGACTTTTATTTCATACTGTTTCCTATATATTTTATCATATTAGGAGTTGGTGATGTCACAGTCATCTTATGCCAAGGTTGCCGGACTGCAAAGTGAAATTGGTCGAGTAGTTATCACGCGGGTAGCCGGAAGTGAACTCGAGTATAAAAGAACGCTGAATATGTACCGGAAGGACATTGCATGTACTGTAAACAATATTAGAAGGGAGCAAATAAAAATGAAAATGAAGCTTGGAAGATATGTGAGAAAACTGAAACAGACACGGATTGAACATGTAAAACTGATAAAGGAACAACAACGCCACGACAAGGAAAGAGCACTCTTGGAAGAACTTCACCTAAGATTAAAATCCGAAGCTACGGCTAGAACACCGGAACCAGTAACATATCCAGTCGGTGATCACTATCTAGAAAACAAACTCGAAGAAGACCAAAGTTTTCACGAAGACGAGGAAACTTATGAACGCAAGCAACCGCCACAGATTGATTTCAAGAGCGGTTCAATGTTTCTTCAAACAGGAATAACAGACGTCCATCCAGGAGAGAATGACTCAAATGATGGCGACGGTCAACAAGCCGGAAACACGCGAAACAGAAAAGTGAGCCGGGCATTTGAACCAATGCTTCCAATGATAGATGAAGATGCTGAAAAAGAATGCGACGAATCGAATGAAAAGCCAGCATGTACAAAAGATGAATCAGAACCGGATAGATTTGATCTAAAAGTTTGGGATGAGGAGATGTCGGTATCGTCATATGGTGGTCGATTAAAGAAGAAAAACGATGTGTCATTCTCCGATATTATCAAACTGAAATACACAGGGACAAAGAATCTGTTTGATGTGGTTCATAAATTAGCAAGGAAACACGGTATCCCTGATGTTGTAGAAAAAGTCCCTGATCCACGAGACAATATTGTTCATCGCGGTTCTACTAATGACTCACTTAAACTTCAAGCAGCCATTTTATATCCGATAAAATATGGATATAGTCCGGAAGAGGAAACAAACGAGCCTGAAGTCGATAGACTAGCTGCAAGCAACAGTAAATCTCCTGTAGTGACGGAAAGTGAAAATGACGCGATGTCAGATTATAGAGACAGTGTTTCTTCGACAGAACAGAAGTCAAGAAGAGTTCGGCGTCTGTCATTACGTCATTCTAGGTCAGTTGATGAAAGCGAGGATTATGACATTTACTTAGATGTGCCGGACAAATCGAGACAATTAAAGTCAAGAGATCTAAGCATGCCCGATTTAGTCGATAGAGTTCGAAAAATCAAATTTGAACAAGTTGATAGATTATCTTCTAGTCAAAGGTTAGAAAATGAAATGATATCGTCATATAATCTGTTATCTCCTTCGCCATCATATAAGCCGTCTTCGTCACGTTCATCTAGGTCACTTCCGGCACTTTCTAAGAGTTCTGAGAAAGATGACAAGAACAACGTCAGCTGGACGCAAGCGTTTGGATTACTCAGAGCTATTCATAGTCTTGAAGACGTTTCAGCATAGAGTACAGAAGCCGCAAATATTTAAAGCGATATCATATATAATTATACATAATGGTTCTAAAAACACAGTTTTCATTTGTGATCTGACCTTCACTTATTTATTTGTGTTCACGTTGATTGATACTTTTTAATAGAGATCACGGTGAAGAACTATAACTAATTCAATGTTTATACTGAATGAATTATAATCAAATTACCCTAAGTTGTACATAATGATATTGAATGCATTCTATTATAAGCTATATAAGTTAATACGTCACAAGACATTGGAAATGTATCACATGTAATCAAATTTGTCGAAATAAATTTCACTTTATTGCACAGTTTTAATCTATTTTGATAATGGTTTCACTTTTTTCAGGCAATGCGTTAAAAGAAAATATATTATGAGGACCAAGATTCTTCCATTTAGAGCTTAAAAAACGTCCTAGATCTGTTTAGATAAATATCATATATTTCAGTGATCATAATTTACTACATGCATGCACTTCAATGAAACTTTAAGATAATAACAAAAAAATATGTAGATGGTCTTTAACAGCTTTTTTACTGTTCTCATGGATTAACTTTTTTTGATGGCATAATGTCTGTCGTGCGTCGCTATCCACAATGTCTTTAAACAATCCTCCCCCTTAATTACCACAAGGTGGTTTTTGCTTTCCTTTGGTGATCTTCGAAATGTGTCCAAAATAAAAATACATACAGTCTGATGTTTAAGTAGGTTACAGGAGTTAACACAGACCCTAATGAAAATATTATTATGTCTTCTTAGAAACTACAGCGCCCAATCCTTAGATACTTTGTATGTAACATTTCCTTGTGTTCTCTATACAAAATTGTATAAACCATGCCCCTGGTGAAGAAATTTGGTCGCTCTTTGGAATGCACTTCTATTTATTTCATACACTTATACATGAATAGGTAAACAAATATTTAAATCTTCTGGATATTCGGTATGGCTGCCCTTGTACGCATTTACAAAAGTTATATGAATTTTACCCCCTGGGGTCTAAAATGGCTCTGCTAGTTGTCATTAATACATATATTTATCTTCATGCGTTCAGAGTATTTATTGTATTTATAGATTGTGATTAATTTCTAAGTAAAACCATTTTATTTGATCTTTATTTAGAACGAATATACAAGTTGTTCATTGTTTGAGCGTGTACTCATCATTTCTGGAAATCACGATCCGATTTTAGTTAAAAATCCTATAACGAACAATGAATTGTAGATCCGGCTAGATAACTGATTTAATAACGCCTTTCTTACACGTAAATTGCTTGTATATAGTCTTCATATTTATTTTCATAACGTCTAACAACACAGTAATTATCTTTGTTCTGTACTTCAGAATATTTGTGTCCTTTTCATGATTTTTTAATGGTCACTGAAGACTTGATAACAAACCAATGTAATTAAGAGATCATAATTTCAAATGGTACCAATTCTAATATATGTGTACAGTGCTCTATAGTACTATCTAAGCTGTCATACGCCAAGACTTGGAAACGTGTAATGTAAATTTCGAATATCTTCACATTTATTCTTGCACGAGTGTTATCATTTATAATACGTTTCACTGCTTTTTGGCAAGTTAAACAAATGAATAACTTATACAGTCTTCATTTGTAAAACATGAATTCATAAGATCCCGTGGATATAAACTATATTCGTGCATATAATTTTACTTTGCGTATAAAAACTAAGTAATGCAAGGTAATCCTATTCATAACCAATTTTTCCCTTCGGTGTTCAAAAAACACCTTATTTTTTAGATCTTGTTGAAATAATGCTAGAAAGTAAATTTTACAGTGTCTTAATTTGCTTTAAGCACTTGATGCGGGGTGCGCTGTTGTTTTTTTATTTGGGTTAATTTATTACCACTCCTTTTCAAATAATAATTTTTAAATTGATAATTGAAATCAGAACAAAATTTAGAATTTTTTAAAATTTCCCTTTTATTTATAAGATGAAATTTGATAACATTAATTTTATTTGTTTTTTGATTTTATATTATGTTTGCTTATACACTGCTAATAGACCGATGTAGACAATTTGGTGTCAAGCAAATTAAAATTCTTAAGCCCCCCGTCAATTTGTAACTTTCCAGTCTCAATTGGGGTTGATTCATTTACTTTTGTTATTATGAATGTCTGTGTTTTTTCAAATGCTATTGACATTGATCACAGCAATGTCACAGCGGTTACAACACCAACAAACGAATTACAAATATGCTGAAGAAAAAATAAACATTTTATTTTGTTTATTTGCACAGGGTGTTTCAAATAAAAGAAATGTAAGGCATAGCTCATCAATTTATTCATTGTCACGTTCTTTAAATCCACCATATTTATTATTCCATATCTTGACCTTAGAGACAATTTACAGTATTTTGAAGTGATCAGGGTGGTTTTAACCTTGATGTAATGGCATGTTGACCGATTTTTTAAAAGAAATAATATATATATCATAATTTCTTGATAGTGATAACTAATATCTTCATTTTTATTGTTTTTAACGTCAAAGCAACACAGTAAAGGTATTATGGCAACTTTCCAGCATAAATGTGGTAGAGGCAGACCTCATGTGGCCTTTCATGCATTATTTCAGGAACGGGTGCTTGAGTAGGACCACAACCGATGTTCCGTAAGCACAATAAGAGATCAAAATTGTCAAAGTGGTTTAAGATCAACAATCTAAATCACTCGGTCACAGGAGCCTTATAGTCCTATTCTAATCGTATAGCACCAAAATCTCTGAAGAACTCGTATGATGTAATGTAAATTCTGAATATCATTCTTTTTTATTTAAACATATTACATTTCTGTGCACGAGTGTTTCGATATATAATATAACGTTTCACATGCAATGGCAATAAACTAAACAAATGCAATAAAACTTAACTACACGTCTTCATTTGTTTTTGTGTAAAACAATAAATTCATTTATCACATACCCGTGCCGATTTTGCGACTCCGTAAAAACGGTATTGCACGGTCGTGCATATATTTTTGACGTGACGTCATTTGCGTTATAAAAACCTAGTGTAATGACGCACTAAATGTTAGCGTTAAATTAAATGCGAGTCATTGAAAAAATGATTCTTTTTCATTTTAAACTCTCTTTATTTGGAGTATTTGGATAAATAGAATATTATATTCGTATAAGTTCAATACTGAATTTATTGAACTCGTTGTTTAAAATAATATAATGCTCGCCTGAGGCTCGCATAAATATAACTTTATACAACTCGTTCAGTATTTAACTTACACTCATTCAATATCCTCTAATTATGACATTTGCTGGTCGGATTCGGTTCTTTCACGATGCCGTCTGCTACCGCAAGGTGCTTTAAATCTATTGTCTTTATACCATCTTTCGCATTCCTCGAGTGTCTGAGGGAGTTCGTACTGATTTGTTTCTGGTACCCATAACATTGTCACGGAAACAATAGCGCACATAATGCCGAACACTAAGCCTGGTGCCCAGACTGCCACTTCCGCCTGCAGGAAATGAGTATAAATTAATGATAACGTTAAGAGAAAAGAAAACCAATTAATTTGTGGGCACAAAATCAACAAAATCACAAATCAAAGTGCAGAGTACAAAAAGGCTGGCTATCTGCTACTGCTGCTGTAGTACATTTAATAGCGTTTTATATATGTCTTTAACCTGTCTAATAATCACAGACAGATATACAGTTTGGACTGCTTTTAAATGAAACGTTGCTATGGAAAAGACAAATAGTACACTGCATGATTTCGCAAAAATGGTTACTATGGTTAAGCGATAAATCGCCAACCCAAAAAAATCAGGCCAGACTTAAAGCATGGTAGACATAAACAACGTTACATACCAGATTCCGCGAGAATGGCGCCAACATTCCACCTATCCTTGCTGCGGCAGACGACATGCCAATGCCTAGATTTCTGAAACAAAGGATATCTTAGGACAACATCTTAAATGTCAGTAGACTCAGTACTAACATAACATTAGTATCTTTAGTAGCAATCGTCAAATATGAAATAACTAGTAAAATACAACACGGTAACAGTACTTATTGCAGTTCTAACTTTTAACATTCAAACGTCATATTACCCAACATAACTTCAATCAATAAAGTTCTTTTCCAAAGCATATTTATGGCATTTTTTTACTTTATCCTTTTATTTCTTTAAGAACATGTACTACAATAATATTTAAACGAACAATAATTGTTATTCTTCGCCGCATGTACTTAATGTACTCATCACTTTTGGTAGTTCATAGATGTAAAAGATATTTCATTTCTCCGACTCCGAAGTGTAATATATTTACAACACACACGCACTTCTTTAGCAAGTTAGATGCTATACAAACCACATTTACAGTCCAACCTCGATTATTCGAATTGCTGAGAACTGAAAATTTACTTCGAATAATCGATGGGTTCGAATAATCGAAATCCGAATAGAGTTATAGACATGTTTAATATGCGAACAATATTTTATGACGGTCATTTGAAGTGACCTATTAAATGAATAAATTTTTCAAGTTTTATTTATTTATTTATCTATAATAAACAAACTTACCTCATATTGGTTGGGTACAATTCCGGAGTGTACAGAAATATTGTGCTAAAGGACCCTGTGATTGCAAACTTTCCAATCAAAGTAAATACTGTTGAACCCAAAATCATCGCCGAGTTTCCATCTTTAAAAAGAAAAATATATTTCGTTTTTAAGAAAATATTAGTTATCTCACTTGGGTGAATATCAGTTGATATTTTCAATTGCAAAAAAATCGATAATGAGTTTACATGATGTATACTAGTATTCAGTATTAGCAGGGCAACGGACGTTACTCTTCGGGTGTTTCCGTCACAATCCGGTTATGCTTAATTAATATTTCTACGGACTGCCTTAACCCGTAATCAGTTATTATGAACTTTCTCGAAGTGTCATAGAAAGGGCGGGAAAAGTACAATTGTCAGACTAGAGATCATGACCGAATTTTTTATGTGTTCTTGGTCGGATTAAGATTTTTGTAAAAGGAATCAGAGCAACGAACAATGATGTAATAATGTAAATAATCTTACTTGCTGTTGTTGTCAGGATTGTAGCAGTAATGAGTGCTACTCCACATATACAATGAAATGCTATACAAGTCGGTTTTCTACCATATCTGAAATATATATACAAAAAACGAGGGCATGTAGAGCTCATATTACTGCCGGGTTTTAATGTTTTACACGTTTTCTTGTTTGTTGCTCTTGTACATTTTGTTATATCTATTAGTATTATGATTATTTTACATGGAGTTAAATAACGTATATATAACTTTCTATTAAATTTACTGAGACATTAGCCGATTCACTGGTGTCATATAACAAAGCAAGTTGAATGTGATTCAGACATATTTTATGAATTTTCAAGTGCTTCTTCAGCGCATCATTTACGAAATTGTCATTACTTCTTATGTTATAACAAGTGGCTCAATCACATAATGGCTGCTTATTTAAGAATTATGTAAAACGAGTGGTTTGGTAAATGTCTCAGGGAATACCGAATATAAAAAGTCCAAGTACGTGATATTACATGCGTCTGTTAACGAAGCACAAAAGTCGTCGTTCATAAGCTCATCATTCTCTCATGCAATCTTTAAAAAAGCCAACATTTTCCTGGAAATTGTTTGAATGGTATTTTGTCAATTTGATTAATCATCATTTACTGTAAGTGCTGCTTGATCCGGTCATATATTGTACAAATTTTGCGTAATTATTGCACAATCCCTGCATTCCTGGGAAAGTATAATTGTGACTACGCAGTTGAATGATATTAACGTCGCTTCTTGATCTATATTAATGTATAAATATTTTTTTGTTTCCTTTGTTATTTTTTGAGTGTTTTTTTCTGTTGTTGTTGTTTCCTTTTTTATATGAGAAACGATATTGTTTATTGGAAATTAAGAAGCTAAGAAGTTATTCACCTGTTTATCATCGCCCATTCCATGAAAGCTGCTGGGTATTCAACAACTGAACCAAGGAAAAAATTTAAGAATCTATCTCCAGCAAGACTAGAAGATATCAACATTATACCATAATATGTTGAACTGTTCGTAATCCTGAAAAGTTATAATACGCTTTTGAATATATTTTGTCTTTTAACATCCGATGTATAGTTTTGCCAGTTTTACCTAAAGTCATACGTAACAATCATACCTAACAATGAAGTTAAATTTTCAAAACGTAAAATGTCTTAAAAATCTGGAAAAAAAGTGCTGTAGCGAATGAGAAAAATTTGGATACTGAGCATTGCATTGATAGCCAATGAAGTTGATTTTTCCTCAAAAAGGGTGGAAATCTGACTCTGATAAAAAAAAACTTTTATGCTGCAAGCTGTGTCAGTCACTTGTTAATTAAATTAGATGCGTTCTGATTGGTTTTGAAAAATAATTCGAGATGAAAAATTCTTCGAAAAAAATATAGAAAAATGTGATACATATATAAATGTATCTTCATCTTTATAATGAAATCATTATTTTACATTATCACTGTCCTAAATTTTTGGTAAATATTTGAAAACACTAAGATAAACTTTCAGTTTTTGTTCTTCTAAAATGTAACCAGATTGTAAAGATATGCAAATAATGATCATTAGAAAAGAAAAGAATAAACAAAGAAATAGAGATGAAATAATATTTTACCAGGCAAACCACATAATAATAGAAGTTAAAAATAATCGTTTAGATTTTATAAGGTCAATGGCTGTGTATGTCTTGGTGGAAACAACGTTCTTGTCCATGCCATTAGCAATACCATTTTCTGTTGTCAATACCTCAGTATCAGATTCTGGTGTTTTCTTTGTATCTGAAATAATTGAAATGTAATAATTAAAAAAAAATGGCTGCATTTCCGGTTCCTCTGCGTTCTTTTGCGAAACAAAATGGCGCCTACATTATAATAAGATGAATTTGCTCATGTTTTTGTAAATTATACAAACTGAGTGTTATTGTATATAAGTTGAACTGTTGCCACAGAAGAGACTACCGATCTCTAAAAATAAATGTACATATATTTCCCTAGATTTCCATGCTAGTCCTTCGGGGTTGAGGATTGAATACCGCTTAAACCGGTTCTATGGGAGGTTAGAGATGTTACCCCAATGAACAGACTCATTAAAATCAAGTCTGCGATTTTCAACTATTTGTTGATATTTTTGATATTTTTCATTGCTGCCGATGGTGAGATATCCCTTTTCTAGATTTTTTATGAGGCAATTTATGCATACTATATTGAAGAAAAATTGCAGAGGACACCTGATTATAATTATAGAACATATTAGTACCTTTAAACAGAACAAAGAAGATATGTACAGTTTGTTATGCATGATAATTAAAATTACCTCATATTTGATTATGCCGTTTAAGTTACTGAAACATATTCTTATGAAAGTATTACAATACATATGCTAAACCTTTTTGCACTTCGATTTCAATTCCAGAATGCATCTCGTAAGCTTGGAAGCCACTCACGGAGGCGACTTCATCGTAATCTTTTTTGTTTAGTTTACATGCTTTTTTGATGATGGCTTTTGCTTCTTTGACACGTCCATTCGCGATAAGCCATCTCAACGATTCGTCTATTAACCTGTTATAAAAAACTACATTCTTCAGACGGAATCTATATGTTTTAAGAACTAAAACAATCAAGCAACCGATATTATAGAATAATAATATTATAGAATAAGGAAGAACGACAAAAAAATGTGATGATGAAACTAACAACCTTTATAACGAAGGAGAGCTACATTAAATGTCTGCCAGTTCCAAAACAAATTTTTATGTTGCTGTTCAAGTAGGGTTTTTTTAAAAACCGTTTAGCTAGGATTTTGTGCATGCGCCATTCGCTCTTTTATGTAATCTTGCAAACGTAATTCTTTCATACAGGTATTTTTGAAGTATTATTAAAAAATGCATCAGATTTAAAGCTTTAAACACTTTTCTAAAACAATACCCTTAAAATCCATGCCATGTTCTACTAAGCTCTCTATATCGGCACTGTTGCTTTGGACAAGACACGCAACACTAAATGGAAACTTAATTGAATTATTCCACAGATTACAGATTCCAAAGCGCTATTTTATTCTATAAATGGGATTTGATAAAGAGATAAATCCGCTTGACTCTTTAAAGTAAACTGCAATTTAATCATAAGAGATTGTATAATGTGATAAATGACTATTTTACACAGCTTCACATAGGCTTTAAACACTGTTAAAGAAATGTAATCTGTAGCAGGAACCACATAGCTTAAGTATCACTTATGTTAAAACTCTTTAAAAATGTGTATGAGTATAGAACAGTTGAAATAACTTACCACCATTCGATGAGAGCCCAAGCTGATAAACAGGCCAAACACGTCTGGAAGTGACGCCATGACATGTTCCGGAATATATAGGCGACCGGTGTAATGATAGCTATACCCGTTGTCCAGAACAGAAGACCAAATACTTCAACATAACCACGCACTCCTTTTGGCATTATTTCAAGATTCAATATGGCAATTGTAAGTCCTGTACCCTTTGAACAAAAATATTGTTAAGCATTACGTCTGCAGTTGAGAATAAAAACTAAGATAACTTAAATAAAAATAAGTTAATAGTTTGAGAACCCTATCTAGAGCTATTAATACAATATTCGCAATCTAACTGTCACTGTTATTTTCAACAGCGTTAATCCATAAATGACAAAAAATGCAATTTTATCATCATGTTTCTACCATGTTACTTTCGAAATAAAAGGTTTTAAATTCTTTGTTTCATATTATAACAGTAAAGCCTTTGTAGAACAGCAGCCTTAAATTTGGTTGATATATCATACTGAATGATTTAGCTATAAAGAGGTTAAACTTATAAATTGCAAAGTCTTACTTTGAAAAGAAATGAAAATATTGATGTTCAATGGCTGATCTTATATGAAGGTTGCATTGTATAATGTTGAGAATAAGTGGATTAGTCCAGTGCAAATAAATATACACGTGGTAGGAGTTATTGTCATTTTCTTATTTTCATAAATGTCAGGAATCTGTCTCGAAGACTGGATATTTTATATTATTATACGTCGTTACATCCTTCAATGTAAAACTCCCATAGGCCTATGATGCTCTCTGATTGTTGAGTATCATCCTTGCAGAAAATATCCGCAGTCTCTAGGAATATTTCTTATATCACCCTTAGTCACATATGAATGTCACTCTTAAAGAGAATATTCCTTGGGGGACATATTTCTTATATTACCCTCCATATGCAACTATTCGGTATGATAAAACATAAATACTAGTAACACATAAACTGTTCGGGTAATAATGAATATTGTCAACCATTGGACTGGCATATAGTGCTGAGGCGCTGCCAGTTGTTGGGATGACAATAAGTATATCTAACACCTTAGCAGATATGTGGTGTTTAAATTACGGTATATGATAAAAGTTACAGAAATTTGAATCGGAAAAGCGCTGGAAATTATCATTACAATTATTACATGTATGTCAATTTTGGGAGTGTCATTAGTTTAGTAGTTTTTGTACGTCTTCAGAAACAGTTTGATCAGAAAATGACTTATTTTGGTTTAAGGCAAATGTGTCATTTCAGAAGGTCCGAAATTACCTGTTGGAAACCACCTGTAAGTATCCGCATTACAGCAAACGAAGAGAAGTTTGGTACAAACGCTGTAGCCAAAGCTATTCCAAACAACGTCACGTGACAGACAATATGAATCCGCTTCCGGCCGAATCTATCAGACAAACTGGTAAATATAAACGCCCCGAAACCTTGTCCAAGCATAACAAGCGTCTGTGACACTTCTGCAAGCTCTTTTCTCTCACATACCAAGTCCCACTGGTAGAATAAATTAACATTGAAAGAAGAAACCAATTAACACTTATAAATGAAATTCACGTCCTATTATAGACCATTTTAGATCATATCAATATTCATATTTGTATATCTTAATTCTTAAACTGATTGCATGTATTTTATTTATGTGATGAAAATCTGAAACCTTGATAAAGCTATACGATGATTGATATTACTTATAACATAGATGAAGTCAAAGTTGATATTGTTGAAACTACACAATTTGGAGAAACCCATAAGATAGGAGAAGTATTTGGGCATATATAAAATAAACATAAATTGTCATATAATATTTAAATATAACTCGTTATCTACCTCTGAAACAACTGATCTTTCATTTGAAAACTGGCCGTAAAACTCATGATAGTTCCATCCATTCGTGCATCCAGTTTCCGTTACAGTTACCACCCCTGTGTCATTTAGAGTTGTTTTTATCGAACACTTCTCATACTCCCGAATAATAGACTGGTTCATAAAACTTTCCGCAACTGTAGAATTGGAATTTAGAACTTCTTTACATTCATATTGTGGTCTGTAACCTGAAATAATTTATCGTTAATACAAATCGCCGATTGCCAAGAATCATCTCTGATCCGAATTTTAACGGAAAATGCCGAAATGTTACGATTGAATAAACAGCATCTTATTTTGTGATAAGACATGTCCATTGCTTTGCAATAATCAAACGTGTTAATTGTACTATTTCTATTTTATAATTTGTTTCTGAACAAGTTTTGGATATTAATATAGAAAAATTGTTTTGTTTGTGTTTACTTTTTTCAATCTAATTCTGTGGATTCTGCCAAGGAAGACTACAAGTGATTGTAGGCGTATTTCAAAACAGCTCATATAAGGATAACGATAAGCAATGTGAATGTGGAGATTGGAATTCTTTTGTACACATATTTTACACAGCTCTTAGAAGGTCATTATAAGAAAAAATTGTGAACAATGAAAGTAGTTGTAAATATATAGCTCACACAGCTCAAATATGATAACGATAACAATGTGATTCACTGAAGAATAGAACTCATTGGATATCGGAGCTCGTAAAATATGTGGATGGGAGCAGAGGAAGAGAAGCGTGGATATAGGCATATTTCAAAAGAGGGATCGGGATGAATGATATGGGTAGTTTGCATAACTTTGGATTTCTTACCAAGAAAAACGATCGACAGCACGTGAAAGCCACACGACCATATTGCTAGAAGCAGAACGATAAGCTGTCGTCTCTGGTAGGATCCCCATTGACCAAGAGAGAGCCAAATTTGGTCAACATCTACAATTGCCATTTTTTTACAAGATTTATAAATAAGTCCACTTCAATAAAACAAACTTCCAAAAGATCGGTGTATATGTAACACGTTAAATACACGGTCTCAGCATCTTAGATACATTATTAAAAGCCACACATGAAATGATCATATATATTCTGGAAGGACTGACAAGAGAAATGGTTTTGAACCGGATATAAGCAGATCTTTAATTTACTATTAATGTAAACTCACGTCGGAATAAATATCTCAGATATATGTCATAAATAAGTACGTAATTGGGATATAGTTCGAATATTATCATTCAGATGGACATGGCGTTTCATTTAATAATATGATTACAAACACGTCGTGTGTGACAGTGAATATCAAGTTGCTCTATCAATATATTACTATAGTAAATATATAACGGTATAACAAATTTGCATAGATGTTCAAGTTCTTTGGATACTTTGACACACGGATGCAATCAGATAGATTAATCTGAGCAGTGTATTGTTTGTTCATATACATATATATACATATTACGATATTATTCATTCGGTGCCTGAACGTGACCCTTCATTGATTACTACCAATTGCACATGTATATTATTGAAGACGAAATCGAGCAGTTAATGCAAATTTCAATATCTCTACAACTTACTGTGCTTACTTTAATGATATTAAGAAATATTTAGACAGTTAATTTTTTCTTCAAAAATCCTGATGCTATCAAATATTTTATACTTATGGACAGTGACAACAGACTTACTTCGTACTTCACTTCAGTGTTGCTTTATTTTGCTGGTTCTTCGATCGGGATTATTGATTCCAGCACTTTTATAAGTGTTGGAAATTAAATACCGAAGCCGGTGCTAGGGGGCATGATGGATGTAGCATTTTTTTCATTATCCCTAAAGCCGTTTAATGTTTTTGCGCGTATAACACAAAATACTATTCACACTTTTTTCACTTAGTGATCTAGGTTAGGTATCAAACACTTTGGAAAAATCTAAAATGATGGTGTCAGTTGATTGAGCAGCATCATAAAGCTTTGAAAGCTCATTTCTTGTTGAAGTTGGGTCTCGCATTAAAAGAAAATCCCCCAAAAAATCGTGAATGTTAAAATTTTATGAGCATAAATGTTATTTTCCAGGTCAGTAAGAAGATATTTACAAATGATATACTCTGGACTTGTACACAGAACTGACGAGAACAATGGCAAGTAATTTTCAGCAAGGTGTATACCAGGGTTGCGAAGACATAGTGTCCTACCACTGGTTGGTTAAGTTTAACCTTTTTTTCCTCTTTTTGAGATAACTGCTCATTAGTTTACAAGTGTTATCGGACAGACCATAGGCCTTAACGTTAAGGATGATCAAGTCATATGCATTGCTACAATTAACATGTTATCATCATGCAAGGACCTGATTCAAATATTCCACAAGTCTATGTATTGATGGATTATAAATTATAAACATACATTTACATATTTCTTAAATTTTTCGAAATGATCTTCATAATCTTGTTTACATAAAATCTCATTCTTTCAATTTTAGGTATAAAAATGTAGCCATATAATTCCTCAGGTAAGAACTCCCAGTTATGGCAGCAACTCATTTCGTTCCTATGCACCAAATCTTTGGAATTCACTTCATCAACAGCTCAGACTCGAATTGAATTCTGGCCAATTAAAATCTAAATAAATGCATGGAATTTGGCTTGAATTTTTGTTAGTGCTCAATATACAATATTTGTGTTCTGTCAGTAGGCTGCTGATCTGATGTTCCCAATTCTGACTTGTGAAATTTTCACTTTTAACACTAGTGGACACACTCTTGTGTTACATGTAATTATCAGTATTTTATTTTATTTCTTTTAAAGCAGTTTTCTTAGAACTATGTCAAGATCAGTAGACTCCACATAACCTTTAAATTTTATAACTTAAAATTTATTTATGAGTTTTAATGTGTACTGCAGTATGGTTAATTTTATTTATTTATATTTATATACTAATAAGTACAGGAAATAGGATGTTATCTATAGCATGTCATAATTATTATTTATTTATATCATCTTATTATAAAGCTATTAATGACTATATCCCACACTTTATTACTATAATTATTTTAACCAGCAATAACATTGCCTTTCATTAATTTGCAAAATGTTGGAATATGTGCTTCTTCTATGTGTTTTATGTTTTAAATGTACGTATGTCGGTAAAAAGCTGTGCATAGCTTAAGTTTTTGTGATATGTTTATTTGTTATAACGGCAATAAATAATTTTGATTTGATTTGGTCTCTTCACTGTAAAACTACCGAATCTCGGATACCGGAATTTACCATTTACCAATACAGGAATTATCAAGTCCAAAACCAAGATGGCAGCGCTCATGTGCCGACCGTCAAATATTTTCAAAACAATTCGATTTGCTCAGCTCGGACATTTACGAAACACGCAGTCAGTTACTGTTCAAGATCAATATGACGAAGATGCACATTATCCACCAATCAAACCTAAATTTCCTCCTGGTAGCTGGGGAGAAATGGAGCCCCTCTTTGCCTGGTTCTGGGAAAACGATCGGGAGAAGATTTCAGCTTTGAGAAATGTCAAAGATAAAGTTGATTATATAACTAAAGGCGATCATAAAGTATGGAAATACAATAGCCTTGACACAACCCCAGACATGCTTGAATATCAGCGTAAAATAACAAAAACTTACATGATTCGTGGTTCATTACCTGCCTTATATGATGATCTTTCTTTTGATGATCATTTTGATGACAGTTTGTTGAAAAAAATAATTTCAGAATCAATAATTCAAGAATTAGAACTAAACAGAGAAAGGTTTAAGAAGCATGCTATATTAAGAGATCATAATAGACCACATCGGTTAGTACATAGATACGATTATGAGCATTCAAATGTTCTGTCATTGAATTGGTTTTCAAATTTGCTCGGAGTACTAAGTGCCAGAAGGAAAGATATTTTTGATAGTCATGTTGATACCGATGTTAAAATCTCTGCTTGTTGGTCTCGTCATGGCGTTCTCAGAAAGATGCCAAGAAGAAAACCAAGAATTGCAAAAGGAAAAGAATACCTGAGGCAGAATAACAGCGAGTTTTATGGAGAACATACAGTGGACTTCCAATTAAGGAAAAGCAAACCATTACCAGAGGTAAGAAAAAAGAAATTCTGGACAATTCAATTAATCAAAGTTATATGAATGTGGAACACCTCAACATTATTTCTTAGCCCAAATGTTGTGATTGTTCTCTTATCCAAATACTCCGGTGATTTAGCATCATTAGGTTACATGTACATGTACATTCAAAATGGTGGTGCTTATCATTATGTACAGCAAATAATACTAAGAATTTAAAGAGAATGTTTTTTTATTTTAATTTTTTTCCTTTTAAATATGTATAGATTATAGGCCTGCAAAACATAATAATATTGAAAAGGTTCATTTCTTTTATAATAAATTACATGAGTTAAACGGGTTTCTAGAAAAAGAAAGGTAAGTAGTTTGATCATGAACAACATTATTTGGGTCGTAAGAGAATAGGTACATTTTGTAAATATAATTTTTATTTGCAGTTTGTTCCAACTAATGATGAAATATGCCACAACTTAAAGTACTCAAGTATGGAAGATTACAATCCGAGAGTACTTGGTCAGTTCAGAGGACTTGTCGATCGTAAATTCAGACCAGGTTAAATTTACTTATTTTCATCATTAAAATAACATATTTATATACTGTACATATTATGTATCAATAATATTCATAACATTACATGAAGCTCATAAATATGACATGGTTTAAATTTTTACAATTAAATTAACAGTCTATATTCTTTAAAAAGGCATTTAAATCTTGGAATCTTTAAAATATAGAATATTCAGAATTGAATGAGTGTCAAAATAAGTTCAAAACTAAATTTATTGAGTACATTTATTGAGCCTCTGACAAGCATAATACTGTTTTATTCAACAAGTTCAATAAATTTAGTATTAAACCTACACAAATATAATAATAATGATCGTAAGCGTTATCGCTGATTGGCTAATCGCTTCACGGGTCAATGTGCATAGGACCGCCTACCTATACGCTGACACGCGCTGACGCATTTGTGTATTTCTGGTTGTAAACAATCGGTAATGTTTATGCGTCCCCAGGCAAAATTAAGCGTATGTGGAATCTTTGTTCTGAAATATTTGCGTCCAGCTGTAATAAACATGCGTACCGGGACGCCGAAATAAGCGTCCCCGAGAACCCTGAATATTCTTATTATCACATATCCAAAATAGGAATAGTTACTTTACTGTCAAAAAGTCATTTTTTATAGCATGTATGGCAGGTGATATCAATTTTTCAAAGTTCCTTTGGCCTGTTTATCCTTCTGGTTAAAGAATTTTCTTGGTCATTCTTCTATTTCCACATTTTTGTGAAGAGCATAAATCAGAATGTTTTTGAGGTATCAACTTGAAAGCGGATAGATTTTATTGACTATCCTCTTTTTAGAACTTTTCTACTGTTTGATAAGGAAGTTTGCACTACTTGTTTTACAAGGGCAAAAAATATTAATTTATTTTACAATAGGTAAATGACATCCAAAGCTTTAAGGCATCAGTTTCTTTTTATCTTATAATGTGAGAAGGGTTACTATTATATTATGTCTTATTATGAATAAATGCCAACAGATTAAAATTTATCTATCATTTACATGCAGGATACAACATTGGTTCAACAAATGAATTCAACCACTTGAGTTTTATTTCCTTGAAAAATCCAAAATTGAAACGCATAGAAATTACTTGTGGTGAATCATATGGGAGACAGGCAAACTATGGCTATGCAATGAGCACTGGCTTTCTGTCTACAGTGGCTCAAGCCCACATGCTAGGTAAGACAACCTTTAGAATTTTTTTTTAACATTTACATTGTACCATGCTAAATATCTTACATTTATATATATGTGTCCAACTTTCAATCTGGACAAAACTATTTTTAATAGGGAAACATTCAAAATAAGTACAATCTGAACAGTGGACAGTGCAGACTATAACCAGATGGCACTGCAAATGTTACGGTTATTTATGCTCAGATTTAGGATATGATAATAAATAATAACATAATCCGAGAAACAAAGACTTTCTTGACTATTTTAGAGACCATGGCTTGCTAAGAGACCTCCTTGACTTACCGTATATCAGGTTATTTCGCGATTTTGGCAGTAATCTAATTTTAGCAGAATTTAATTTTAGCAGTTTCTTTTTCCGCGTTTTTCTGAGGACAAAGAGAACACTCTTTTTTTCCGGAGATTTAATGTTTTCACAGGTAAAACATTGTTTTCAATTTTCTTATTGATGTATTGCATACAAGTATGTGGTAAACAGATAATTGCATAAGTTGCATTAAAACTGCCTATGTTTGTATAACTACTTGCAAGGTGAGAAACTGTTTGCTCACTGTGTTTTTATGTACTTAAAAAACACTTAATGCTAAATAAACATGTTTATCCGAAATTGATACATTGATATCTATGTATCACAATGTATGATAAAAACAACTGTTAAACTGGGTAGCAAATTTATAAAAAAAAACAAGTTGCAGAAACGTGCAAAACATGTATTAAATTACGGGAAAATTTAGCAACGACATTCATTGCAAGCAAATATTGCGAAAATTAGATTCTCATGAATAACCACTGATATACGGTATTTGATGACTACCTCTACAAACTAATTTGTATCCTTGACTTGTATAGAGCCCTTGGCTTGTAAAGTGACATTGACTTCTAAAGAGATGTCATTGACTTGTTAAGAGATATTGATTTCAAAATTGACCTTGCCTGTCAAGTGACCTAGGCTTTTAAAGAGACCTTGGCTTTTAAAGAGTTTTTGGCTTGTAAAGAGACCTCTTTAAGTTGTGAAAATACTGCCCCAACTTGTTAAGAGACATCCTCGACTTGATAAGAGACAGACCTTGGCTTTAGACCTCGTGGACTTGTTAGGAGACCTTGGCTTGCTTGTAATGAGACATTGGCTTGCAAAAAGACCTCCTCAACCTTTAAAAATCATTATAAAAAATATTGCTAGTAATTAGCAAGCATGGAGGTGGTTACAAGACTGGACAGTCTAGTCAGTCTGATGTAAGTAAAATATGTCAGGATAGGGTATCCTGAAAATGTGTGTAAAGTGCAGAGTGGCACTGCATATTCGAGCATTATGTTTATCTTTGTCAACAGGAGTCTTCATTGCTACATTTGTAATATGGCTGAGACGGGGGGATATATCTCATTTATTCAAACTTTTACTCATTTGCAATTGTAAAAATAAAAAAAGCAACCATTATTAAGGCTTAATCTGGAACTTAATGGTTTAATGCAGATAAAATAATGTAATTATTTAGATGTGAAATGATAAGAATCATATCAAGTTTTTTATTATGATACATGTAGCATGACTAAGTATTGCACTCCAATTAGGTGTTGTTCTCTTGAAATATCACATACATGTACATGTATATAGATATTTGATATTAATTTACTTGAAATAAAAGGTTTTTGACAAGATGATGCACAAATATGCAAATATCTTTGCAGGTTTTAACATGCACGAGGAGCTGACCTATCCGTTCACAACTCAGACCATATTGACAGACGGTCAGAACTTCATATTGTCAGCATATCAGCTGAACACCTTACAGCTGTGGAAAGACGACAAAGCAAACACTCTTCAAAATGTCTGCTGGGCAACTGAAAGTGAAAAACTGTACGAGGAATATAAAGATGGGGAACTTGTAGGATTTAACGACAATCTCTTGAAACAGATACTGAAAATGTTCTTGATTCAGCCTTGTGACAGGAATGGAATAGATCTTGCACCAAATCTGACAGATCACAAGCCTAGCCCTCTTGATATTCCTGGAAAAATTATTTATAGGACTGTAGAAGAAGATTTTAAGTACGATAAGGGTAGTTAAACTTTTTTACTGTTGACTTTGTTGAATGTACTTGCCGAGTTTGAAGATAATTACTTTTTTTAGCTGTTAGCTTGGTAAATTTTAATGTTTATTAAGTTTAACAACAACAACATTCAAAACATTATATCAGGTTAATTATTATACTATGTCATGTTCAGAGAAGGTGTTACCTGAGACGGTTTTCGTAATACATTAATTTTGAAGTTTGTTTTAGATTTTTTGTAACAAATATTTGTGTAGATCAATTTGTAATGGTGATCTTTATCAAATAATAAAATTATAAGCAAGATGTGCGTGTAGTTTCTTCAGTGTTCTGAATAGATTGTCTTAAGGGTCTTGCCCCATTTTTAGCTCAACTTTTTTTTTTTTGAAAAAAAAAGTAGAGGTATTGCTATAGTCGCGGCGGCGTTGCCGTTCCCGTCCGCAAACTTGTACCTGGATCATAACTTTTTTATTTCTTGGTGTATTGTTTTCATACTTGGCCACAACAACCCTTGGGACAAGGCCTTTCAGTAGACCACACTAACCTTGACCTTCATCCATAAATGACCTTGACCTTCAAGGTTAAAAGTCCAGATTTTGCTTGTTCATGCTGTTATTGGCTGTAACTTTGTCATTTTTGAATGGATTGTCTTCAAACTTGAACATAATAATCTTCGAGGATATCCCTTAAAAATAACCAGACAGACCTTGACCTTCTCTCATAAATGACCTTGACTTTGAAGGTCAAATTATTGAAATTTTCATTTTTTGGCTATTGTTGGCTGTAACTTTGTTATTTTTGAATGGATTGTCTTAAAACTTAAACATAATAATGTTCAAGGATAACCCTTAAAAATAACCAGAGAGACCTTGACCTTCACTCATTAATGACCTTGCCTTTGAAGTTCAATAATGAAGTTTAAATTATTGAAATTTTCATTGTTTTGTAACTGGCTGTAACTTAGCTATTCTTGAAGGGATCAACTTCATATTATAACAGAACATACTTAAGGACAAGACCTTGTTGTTTATCAAACACTTGGGCTCTTTAATGACCTTGACCTTGAAGGTTAAATTACTGAATTTTCTCAGATTTGTGCATTACATGACTAAATGACCGTATATATTTATTGGTGTGTGTGTATATGTGTATATATATATATATATATATATATATATATTATATATCATCATCAACAACAACACGTGACTCCACCACCACGTGACTCCACCCACCACGTGACTCCACCCACCACCTGACTCCACCCACCACCTGACTCCACCACCTGACTCCACCACATGCCTCCACCATGTGACTACCACGTGACTCCACCAACTGAATCCACTACGTGACTCCACCATGTGACTTTACCACGTGACTCTACCACGTGACTTCACCACGTGACTCCACCACATGATTCCACCACGTACCACGTGACTTCATCACATGACTCTACCACGTAACTTCACCATGTGACTCCACCACATGACATCACCACATGACTCCACCACGTAACTTCACCACGTGACTTTACCACATGACTTCACCACATGACTATCACATAACTCTACCTCGTGACTCTACCACGTGACTTCACCACGTGACACCACAATGTGTCAACCACGTGACACCACCACGTGTCAACATGTTACTCCACCACGTGTATCTATTTATAGAATTTTCTATTTATAGAATTGCGTGTTTCTATTTATAGAATTGCGTGTTTCTATTTATAGAATTGCATGTTTCTATTTAAAATATATAGACAAAACTAATGTGACAAGACGGACCGATTAATTTTATAAAAAGAAAACGTTAAGATTTTGTTCAAAGATTTCTTTGTTTGCTTTTAGAGAAAGTAAAAAGTCAAGTGTTGCCCCCGCCCGGCGGTGGCTCTTGTAAACTTTACAATTACGGAATTAATATATTAAAAGTCTTAAACTGAGAAGCTACCTATAAAGAATCTATTCTTGATCTAATGATTTACCCCCTCTTCTTCAAATTTAAACAAAATGGACTCACTTAACTTTGCAGTTGTGATTAAATGTTTATTCAAAATAAATAAAAATATGTCAACGCTCCTTAAATCAAGGAACAGCCAGTCATGCAAGAATACCTCCTAGACCTCCGATCATCTTTTTCTGTTGTGATACAATGTGTAAGTAAATATTTCTGCAGGATTAAAATTATGGGACTTTTGTCTTCAATTTCTGCATACTTTATTTCTGTGGCCTTATTTACTTGCAATGACATGTTTTACTTTGTCAGTTCTACGTCCATTGCTTAATAAAAATGATTTACATCATGTTTTTATTTACTTACATTTATTTGAAAGTTCATTGATATTTTATTTAAAGGTAAGTTAACCAACTAACAAACTGGTGAATTGTCATCTTATTAATTTTCTGTATAGCATGACTAACACTATTACTAGCTGACAATATTGTTCACATATTGTGTCATCTCTGCAAGTACTGTGCCGCTATGATAATGTGAGAGTGACATTGCAATTTTTGTGTACACAAAAGTTTACAATCTTTGTCTGAATAGGTAAAACAGGGTATTCAGAAGTGAATATGATTCAAAATCAGAAATAGAATTTGAAAAGTCTCGATGGCAAAGTTGGTTAAGTCACTAGGATGCCATACAAATTAAATTGTATCATGAGTTCGAGCCACACAAGTTGTCAAACCTTTTTATGCCACCGCAGCATCTGCGATGCGGTGGCATATAGCGATTCACCTGTGTGTGTGTGTGTGTGTTTGTTTGTTTGTTTGTTTGTGTGTGTGTGTGTTATATAGATTATATAGTGAACTTAAAAAATCTTCTTGTGAAAAACCACTTGTCCAATTTCAACCAAACTTGGCAGGATTGATCCTTGGGTGAAGGGCTTCCAAAGTTGTTCAAAGAATTTCATTCCATGCAGAAATCTGGTGGCCATGGCAACCAAAAGGAATTATAAGAATAAATTAAAAAAATCTTCTTGTAAAGACCCAAAAGGCCTAGAGCTTAGATATTTTGCATAAGGCATTGTCTGGTAGACCTCTAGCAAGATTGTTCAAATTATAGCCCTGGGGTCAAAAATCGGCCCTGCCCCGGGGGTCATTGATTTTCACTATATTATAGATATAGTAAAAAACTTATAATACCTTCTTGTAAAGACCCAAAAGGCCTAGAGCTTAGATATTTTGCATAAGGCATTGTCTGGTAGACCCTTACCAAGATTGTTCAAATTATAGCCCTGGGGGTCAAAATCGGCCCCGCCCCAGGAGTCTTTGATTTTCACTATATGTACATATAGTAAAAACTTAAAATACCTTCTTGTAAAGACTCAAAAGCCTAGAGCTTAGATATTTTGCATAAGGCATTGTCTGGTAGACCTCTACCCAGATTGTTAAAATTATAGGCCCGGGGATCAAAATCGGCCCCGCCCCGGGGTCATTGGTTTTTCTAAAATGTATATAGTAAAAACTTATAGTAAAAACTTTAAAACAATTTCTTCTAGCAATTGACAAATGCTAGAGGTTAGATATTTGGCATGAAACATTGTGAAGTGAACTTCTAGCAAGATTGTTCAAATTATAGCCCTGGGGTCAAAATTGTCCCCGCCCCGGGGGTCATTGATTTTCAATATATACATATAGTAAATAAAAAAAAAAATCTTATTGTCTGAAGGTACAAGGCTTAGAGCTTTAATATTTGTTAAATGATATCAGCTATAGGTACTCTACCAAAGTTGTTCAAATTTTGCCTCTAGTGTCAAAATTAGCCCCGCCCCAGGGGCCATAGGTTTTCCTTATATGTATATAGTACAAACTTAAAAAAATCATCTTCTCTAAATTTACAAAGGCTAGAGTTAAGATATTTTGCATGAAACATTATGTAGTGAACCTCTAGCAGGATTGTACAAATTATAGCCCTGGGGTCAAAATTGGCCCCATCCCCAGGGGTCATTGATTTTCACTATGTACATATAGTAAAAAATTAAAAAATCCTCTTGTCTTAAGGTACAAGGCTTAGAGCTTTGATATTTGGTATATAGTATTATCTTTTGGTCCTCTACTAAAGTTGTTTTAATTATGCCCCTAGTGTTAAAATTGCACTGCCCCAGAGGCGATAGTTTTCCTTATATGTATAAAGTAAAAACTTGAAAAATCCTCTTCTCAGAATTGAAAAATCCTCTTCTCTGAATTGACAAAGGCTAGAGGTTAAATATATGGCATGAGACTTTGCGAAGTGAACCTTTACCAAGATTGTTCAAATTATAGCCCTGGGGTCAAAATTGGTTCCGCCCGGGGGTCATTAATTTTCATTATGTACATATAGTAAAAAAATAAAAAATATTTTTGTCTGAAGGTACAAGGCATAGAGCTTTCATGTTTGCTATATTATATATATCATCTATTGGTCCTCTACCAAAGTTGTTGAAATTTTTCCCCTGGTGTTAAAATTGGCCGTGCCCGGGGGCAGTGATTCTCATTATGTACACATAGTAAAAACAGAAAATAAAACAAATGTTTTCTGAATGGGAGAAAGCTACAGCTTAGATATTTGACTTGAAATGTTGTTTGGTGGACCTGTATCAAGATTGTTTTGAATTAAACCCTTGGGTCCAAAATTTTGCTTTGCCCAAGGGGACAGTGACCTACTTTCTTGTCCTTTGATGTACAGCAATGAAATTTTGACCATGTGCACAGTTTTAGTTGTAAAATTGAAATTTGATATCAGGTGACCTAGATTTTGATGATGTGACCTACTTTCTTGTCCTTTGATGTACAGCTATGAAATTTGAACCATGTGCACAGATTAAGATGTAAAGTGAACTTTGATATATCAGCTGACCTAGATTTTGACAAAGTGTCTTACAGTGTTGTCCTTTGATGTAGTCATGAAATTTAGGCTGTTTGAAATATGACCTTCACCACCAAATTCACTAGACTTGAGTGCATTGATATATTCCTACTCTGATCTTTTATTGAGTTAACAACAGATTTAACCACTAATCTGATAAGAATTAGATAGGTCAGGGATCTATGCATTATGACAATCTACAAAATTGTATAGAAACAAAAAAAAATCTGTTCCTACACTACTATTTAGTGTTGTATTAATGCGGTGGCATAGCATTTTTCTCAAATGCAATCTTGTTTTCCTTTTCTTTCCCTATTTTTATTAGTCCCCTACCAGTTTAACCGGAGGGGACTTAAGGTTTACCCTCCGTCCGTCTGTCTGTCCGTCTGTCTGTCTGTCAGTCCGTCAGTCCGTCCGTCCGTCCACGAAACTGGATCCCGCGATAACGCAAAAAGTACTGAAAATATTTTTATGAAACTTGATATATGGATAGA